GTGGCAAAACCAGCACGTGGAGCCCCCAGCCGGGACGAATAACGAGCCATCGTGGCTCGAAGAGCGGCCTCGCGCCACTCGCGTACTTCTTCGGGCGCCTCCAAATCTCACGAGGGAGTTCCAGCCAACGCACACGCTGCCTCCGTCGACACGGTGCGGTAACCGCGCGTTGGCTCTAACCGCCAATACCCTCTGAGGACGCCAAAGGCGCGCCCTATTTTGGGTGGTCAGAGCCGCTGACCACACCGGTGCGCCGCACAGTGCCATTGACCGGACAACCCCCGTGTACAGGCGTCTCGTTGCGACGCTGGGTCCACCCAGATTAGGCAAAAGGGCCGAGTTGACAACGATTGAGGCGCCAGGGGGGGGAACCACGACGGGGCCCATGAAATAAGAGGGCCTCCGTCTTATCCAGGGCCTACCTCCGAATCCCGAACAGGTGGGACATCATCCTCGCTCTCCATGTCGTTTTCGGCCAAGGAGGTCATTGACGTGGCTGTGTGCCCCGCCCGTTGCGGGAATAGGCCCTCTACCACTACCTGCAGGAAGAGGAGAGTCCGTCAGTCCTGTCCGGGAGAGTTCAAAACGGATATATAAGTGATCCAAGAGAGTCTCAGCCTTTTCCAGGACACACCAGTTCCTTACTTGTGCGGCAAGGGCAGGGGTAGCGAACAAAAGGTCCACTATAGACCCCCCCCCCCCCCTTCTGCCGCACGCACGTGTTGGTGGAGTCTCTGTTTAGAAGACAGAGGCCCACCGAGGCCGCCCACTCGCACTTAGTAGGCCTGGCGATCTTGACACCATCCGTGTCTGCAGATATGCCCCGCAGCTTCTCGGCGAATGTGTCCGCCGTCTTTGCGCCTTCAGTCCCTGGGAACTCGAGGACTCGAGCTCCCATCTGGCCGAGGCGCATTCTGACACCTACCGTCCCGAAATTGTGTGCGAGACTGTCCCGGGGCTTTATAAAGGCGGCCGCGTAGGACAGCCCATCGTTAGCCACCTCCGGTGATACGGTGACCACCACAGCCGCGGTTTTAGACTTTTTGGGCAGCCTTATTACCCCGCTTTCGGGACTTCTTAACACGTAAGACAACCTGCCAACCATCGGTTGAGGGGGCAGATGTAGAGGGGTCAGGTGCAGGTGTTAGAGTGGGGAGCGGAGGAAATTCCGTTACAGTCTTTGCCGACGTTCTAGGCCTCACCCTCGATGCAGCCGTCTTGGCTACTGCCTTGGCCGCCTGTCCTGCCCTCCGAGCAGCCGCAGCAGTGGAAGCCGACACTGCCGCCAGACACGCGACCTCTTGCAACGGGAAGCGAAGTCGGCGCCGACTCGACCCTGACCCTATCTCCAGCGAGAGGTGGAGATTATTATACTCGATTTATACCCAACCGAGGGGTCCGCAGGTGCCCCGGCTGGGAGTGCGCTTGCAACTGAACAACCCACCATGCATCCCCTGGCCACGCACCAGAACACGGGATTCGGAGTAATTTTGAAAAGAGGTTTATGTCCTCGCAGGCCGGGTGGCTAAGCCAAGACCCTCGCCCCGATTAGAGTGGTGATACATAACCATGATACTCCTACCGGGATTACGATGTGCAACCGGTGGCAAGGAGACACAGTCCCCATAGCCTGCCTGATGGCAGTGTAAGTGTTCACCGAGCCCGTCGTTCCTCCACATTGGACATTTGAGCAACTATCGGTGACCCAAGAAGGGCCCCACCAAGTAACCTTTTTAGTCTGGAGTCTCCCTCTGAGCCAATCCGGCATGAGTGACTCTACCGGCATAGTCTCAGAGATCACTGACCCGCCCAACCCCCCCCCCCCCCCCCCCCACGACGACAACGTGAGGGTACAGTTGGGGGGGGGAAACTTGACACAAACCCTATACCAACCCGTCTGGCCAGCGCAGTATACTTAGTAGGCAAAACCTCCTATATAAGGCGAGGCCTGTGTCCAGCAGTGGACTATTAAAGGCTGTTGATGATTATGAGAAGATATGAAATCCTACAGTGACCCGATGACTATAATAGATTTGACTCCTATTACATGAGAGAATCATAATTATTATGACAATATGTGTTTAATACGCCTTTCTCACTACGGACCTAGATTTATAATAAATAAATTTGTTGCGTTTCAAAGTCCTTTGAAAGAGGAACTATTTAAACAACGTACTGTTAATGAGTTAAAGTTATGAATAAAAATGACAACAACAAAGCAATTTTATTATCTTATTATTACGTGCTCTTGAAAAATTCTTCTGTTTATAGTAACCTATAACTAACTGTTCTCAGGTGTCTCTTAATTATCATCTTATTAAAATAATAGGTACGAACGTTTATAATGTGTTTATTACACAAATAAATACCTTTAGCTTACTACCCACTACTCTGTTAATAACTTGAAACATAAATCTTATACAGCAAAATGTAATTAAGCACCCGCTCAGCACCAGCAGGTACAGCACAAAAAGCAGAAATAGCAAGAACAGCAGCAAAAGTACCTGTGCAATCAACAACAACAAGAGATAACCTATCAACAAGAAACTGCTGGTGCTGCCGACAAGAGTAGCAATATTGAGTATCAGAGATGATAGCAGGGGTCTATTGCAGTCTAGGCCACGCGTACTCCAGTACAAAAAAAACGTCGCGTACTGAACCGTGAACTTTTAAGTAGGTTATTTTGTATTATTGTAGGTACATTTTATTTATTTCCGGTTACATTCGTTTACATTTTATCTTTTCTGGGTGAACAATTTGTAAGAACTACGCTGTTCATTGACCTTTGTTTGTTGTTATAATTATATAACAACAAACAAAGACGACCGGATGGCGTAGTGGTTTGTGTAACGGACTGCTATTTTATATTATTATATTATATATTGTATACCTAATTATTTAATGAATTTCGGCATTATTATAATAATGTTATATAATATTTTGGACATCCGACACACAACGCCATCTTATTTTTTTGATGACGGGGTGGATTTTTTTTTGTACTGGAGTACGCGTGCCTTAGATGGTATTAGACATTTTATGATATCATCTCTGATATTAAATATTTCTGCTCTTGTAGGAAGCACCAGCAGTTTCTTGTGCTGGCGGGTGACGTGAGGGGACAGGTGTCGTCCAATTTGACCGACCAGGACTTCGCGTTCAGACGCCCACGCGGCCCGCCCCAGTGCTAGCATTGTGCCGTTTCCTCGCGTCTGGTACTCACCGAAGTAACCATGCCCAGTGAGAACCTGCGTCAGTCGGTAGGTGACGCGACTTTATTTCCTACCTACCCAAGCTTCGAGGTTAGGCAGAAAAGCACCGACTGATATTACAAGTACTGTAGTTGAGCAGTCGAGAATCAACATTAAGTCTCAATGCTCTACTGATTGAGCAGTAGGGCTAGAGAATATTTGCCGCCATTTATATTTTAATATTAAAATATGTCCACGTCTGCTATGTTTGCCCGTCCGAATCACAATAGTTTAGGCAAGTCAATATATTTATGAAAATGTAATATATGTTCATAAAAACAAAGATAGCTTTTTGAAAGAAAGGTGATGTCCATGCCATAAATACCAGAAATAAAAATAAACTTGTAGTACCCGCCTCTAGGCTCCAAAAGATAAACAAGTCTTTTCGAGGTCAATGTGTCCGATTTTATAATAAAATCCCAAAGAATATTGAAGAGTTAAGTATTAACTAATTTAAATCCGCAATAAAACGTGGCTTGTGCCAGAGGGCTTACTACTCAATTGTGGATTACATGGAAGACAAGAATGCTTGGGATTAATTAGCGCAGGCTATTTCTTTCTTAAGTAAAAATGTGATGTGGCTAGTATGTTTGTTATTATTATTATTTTTTCTATTTTTTATGTTTCACTTCATTTTCTCTTTTATTCGTTAATTTTCTTAATCTTGTTTTCTCTTCATTGTCTTTTTACCTTTTAGTCCTTAATAACAGACATACTAGCACACATCAAAACAATGTTGTGGTATATTTAATAGTGCCATTGTATCTATCTTTGAATTGCAAAAGAGTGGCCATGAGTTTGTTTGCCCTTTCTTTTCATAAGGCTCAACCCCTTGGAAACGGGCGGTTTTAGATCGGCACAGGCATATCATAGATTTTGTATGGGTTTGATTTTTGTTAAATTTATTTGCTTACTATTTGACAAAACAGAGATTGTTTTTGTGTGTGTTGATCTATGACTTTAGAGTCTACATAAAAGACGATTTCAAACAATTTTGACATTTTTATGAAATAAAGAGAGTTTGAGTTTGAGAATAGCACACTCGCAAGCGTGTAAATGGCATCCAAGCGCTTATAAAGACTTGAGCTTGTGGACGTTTGCCAAGCCTCGGCACGCTTGTAAACTTGGCATAACATAACACACCCAACACTCCAGTTCCAGTTTCATTCAATTGAATTTCTTGGTAAAATTATGTGTAGGTACTTCTTTGTTGGGATTATTGCACTCTGTTAAGAAAACATGAGAGTAATTTTTAAGTTCCAAGATATAAGCTCTTCTTAGATCTGTAAGAGATCCTTATAAAAAAATAAATAATAACAGGATAATTTTATGCTCAAACTAGAACTCATGTTCACGACAATGTTTATTTATGTACATTCGAATTCAAAAGGGTTTTATTGCGGTTTGTATAAAATAATGACTTTAGATACTGTTTACATATTTCATGACAAAATTCAGAAGGTATGCCACAATATTAGGCACATTTATCTTAAGTAAATGAATTTTACGAGTACGAATATTATTTTTTTAAAGACGCTACAGATTATAAAATAAGAGTAGTAGTATATGTCGATATTTAGTTATCGATGCAATTTCGTTTCACAGACTTATCATTGAGGTTATATATAACACGTAGTTTCGGATTTATTTAAATAGTGTTCTACAGCCTAAGGGTCATTAAGCAATCTTGTCATTCATGTTGCTCATTTAAATATACTTAAGTATTTGTCGCGTGTGCAGTCCACCATTATGATTGGTGCAGTTGTTCTGGCGCTATTGGTGCCATTTCTGTTTGTTTATTGTTACAAAAATGCTTACAAAAGACCTGTAAACTTTCCACCGGGTAAGTTTTTTTTTATAAGTTTTATTAAACTTGCAATATTTGTATTTAATTTAGTACTACTTCCCGATGTCCGATTGGGCTCAAATTTTGTGTACAAATGTATCTTTAGCCACAATTTACGTTAATTAATATGTTACCATGGAGCTTATCTGATAATGGAGCCGAAAGACGGCTATAGGATCTTCTTAATTAAACATGACAAACCCATCAAGTTTGAGCTCGTACTTTGATATTGTCCATAAAGCTTGTTTTAAGAAGGTACAACTAACCTGTTTTAACTATCGTAGAGAACAATGTGATAGCATGCAAGGTATGCGTTCTAAAAAGCAAAAAAAGGTTGTATTTTTTTTTAGGTTGTAGGATGAGTACATTAATTGAAAAATTGAAAATATATATGAACCGTGTATGTTTTAATTGCAAAAAGATCTAATAAAATTAAGAATAGGTAAGGTTCGAGAAACGACCATAATAGTGCGGGCCTCTTTGCTTGTTACATGTCATAGTACCTAACAAATGATTTACTCGGTACAGAAGTGATTAATACTTACACAAAGTAATTTTTACTCCTTTTTACTCCTTTGAATTGCTCCGGCTTGAGTATAGTCAATATTAACAGAGTTCATTTTATTTTCGAGATTCGGGAGTGATATAGTGTATTAGTACATGTGAAAATACTGAAAAAAAAACAGGGTATTAAACGACTACATTGTTAACAAGGTGTGTTTTATACTGTTACTTTAACTCTGGTCATCATCATCAACAGCCTTTAATAGTCCACTGGATCTCCTTATAAAGGAGGTTTTGGCCTGGGCTTGGAAACGTCGTCGCTTCGGCTTCAATAATATATGGGAATATTACTTTAAAGTAAAAATATTATAATATTGTCATTTTTAAAGTTTTTTTTTGTGTGAGAAATTTGTAATTAATTGTTATCATCGCAATTATAATAGTGGATAATCTGATATTTCCGATAACAGTCTTATCACAGAGCAGTTAGCGGACGCCCGACGCGACTACGTTTCAATCTATATACACGGTGATTTTTTAGGCGTTTTGGAAACGAAACATTTTAATTTGGAATCATCTATAGTACCAATAAAAATGATTAAATCAATTGTAATGTTGTCTAAAAAAAAGTTTCAGTTTTAATATTCATTTTTACTCGATCGACTTGGAAAGTAGTAATGGACTGATCATTCATTCATTATCTTATATGAATGAAACACGTCCGTGCGCACCGCCGACGCTAACAGCAAACTGATAAAAGTATACCTATAGGCGCGAGCTAGCGAGTACTTACTCCAATTTGTCCTTCATACTTTACACGGGCTTAGGATCGTCGGAAATACCTACTTTATTTAAACTTCTTTTTGATTATTAACCACGATTGTTCTTTTCACAACAAATCAATTTATCAATGGACTGTAGGTATAAATATTTCAAGCGTATTTAAAACAATCGGAGCTATCTACAGAATAATTAACTTACATACCTATTTACACTATTTACACTTCTCTGTATCGAAGCAACTGCTCAAAATGGAGTCCGCTGCATTCAATACACAAACGTCCACGTTTAGTGCAATTGTTTTTTAATTTTCTTAATGTGTCTCTATCACTTTTCACTTTATCAAAAGCGTCCACTATCGCAATGCGTAAATTATCACGGCTTTCATATTCCCGTGTATAAACAAGTATTTTTATTTCCGACCATAAGAAAAAATCCAGGGGCATTAAGTCCGGGCTTCTAGGTGGCCAAGGCACTGGCCCTCCTCGACCTATCCACCGATCACTAAACTCATTGTCCAGGTATGCACGCACTACACTCGAATAATAATTTAAACGTCCTTGACCTTGCGCGTCAGTATAGTATTTCTATTCGTAGTATTTACCTACTTGCGATTGAAAAGCCCTACTACTGGTTCTCACCTTTTCTCTGTAATCGATATGAATATCGACTTTTATGATAAAAAAAATATATATTTTATTAAATTAACGTTATATATAGCTTCTGTTACTGATAAATAACTCAAAATTTTCTTTTCCAAAACGCTTTCAAAATCACCGTATATATATAAGAGATTTACATAGTCACTCATCACGATATCTCTGGAACCATTAGAGCTAAAGACTTGAAATTTGGTAGGAATATTCTTTTCACCGAGTAGAGGTCAGCTAAGAACGGATTTTAGAAATGCATAAAACAAAACAAAAAAAAATGTAAATAGCAAAACAACGTTTGCAGGGTCAGCTAGTAAATAATATATGAGAAACCATCGAAAACTATTCAATAATCCACATGATAAATCAGCTTTAACTGAACTAAAAAGATTAAGAAATTCAAGTTCAATTGGATTGGAACCTGTGGATTTTAGTGAGATTCCTTTTATCACGTTGGAAAAGAGCTGATGATCTTCAAATATATAGCTAAGAAATATCTCGATCATATCGCCTTTCGAACAAAAATATCCGCATCGAAATTGGTCCATCCGTTCGGGAGCTGTGATATGAAAGACAGACATATACACAGATACACTTAAACTTATGACACCCATCGTTTTAAATGGGGTCAAAATGGTTGAGTTTACCACACTGACACAATTTTAGTATCTACATTGCATCGCCAGTATAATGATATATTGATTTAACTAGCTGGCTACATGTAGGCACAAAAGTAACTAAAGCACTGTGTATGAATCACAGAACATTTATTTTCTGTTCTGTGGTATAAAGTCCTCAACTTTGTACATAGTAAAGAAAAATTTAAATGTTTCTCAAACATACCTGAGTTGTATGTATAAAAAAAGATGTTTAGGTTCTCGTTAAGCGTTTTTGTCTTCAAAGACAGTAGGGAAAGAAAGTTTTACTGTACCATTAAACTAAATTTTAACAATGTCTCTGAAAAAACAGGATTCAGCCAAGTTTAACAATCAGACAGCACTTGGGTTTTGGACTAATATTAAATATAGATATTTTTATAAGTTCTCTATGTGCCAAGCCATTTTCGCCACTTTTTGTACAAAAAGAATTTACATAAAATATTGAAGCAGTTTTTTACTATATAAAAAATAAAAAGCTTCAATATTTAACTAACTAAATAAATTTCTACCTAATTTAAGGTCTATTAAGTCGAGATAAGTTCAAAAAGTTACCTAATTTAAGGTCTATTAAGTCGAGATAAGTTCAAAAAGTCTTTCAACCTATAAGAATTCTCAAGTTACACATTAATAGTAACGAAGCTTTAAATTTTTTATCCCTGTAGATATTTACATTAGTTTCCAATATATTTTGGTATATTATACCTTTTAAAATTAAATGTTTTTTAATCTTGAAATAACTTTTAATTCACACACTCATGCATACACACACACGCGCGCGCGCAAGCAAGCAAACGCAGACACACACTCATTCATATACCATATGTCATAGTACCATATATAATGCACAACAGCTTAATCTTATATGTAATAAATACACAAAGCATTCACAACTGCTCTAAATTAGAAAAGTTTTATCTAATATTGTATAAATGTATGGCCGAACACTGTCTTTTAAGATACAGGTGTCACCTAGTTTAAAAGGCAGGGTTTTTCACTGATTGAACATGGATATTTCGATATTACCGACGACTAAAATTGTCCTGTAACTAACATGTACTGTAAATTTTCTATGTATAATTGTTTTGGAAATAAATTTATTATTATTTATTATTAATTACAATCTATTGCTAAGAAGTCTGGATTTTATGAAGGAGAATGAGAAGACAGGTATGCTGCGAGAAACGAAATACTACTGTCTTATATCGGTACATAGTCATAAATTTTTTACTAGCTACCAGTAAAAGATTTTTTTACCCTAATATTTAACCCATTACTAACTATAATCCATAAATCGTAAAAATACTTACGGTTCACTTATATTTTGCAAAAGGCCCACCAAGTCTGCCAGTATACGGAGCTTTTTGGATTGTCCTGGCTAATGGGTTCGGAGACCTTTCATTGGCTTTCCGCAAGCTCGGACAGAAGTATAATACAAAGCTTATAGGATTAAACATGGGGCCAGTACCGACAGTCGTCGTAAACGATCCTCATCTAATAAAAGAAGTGCTTAATCGAGAGGAATTCGATGGTCGCTTGGACATAATACTCACCAGGTTGAGATCGTTTTGGAAGAAACTGGGTAAGTAACAGATATAACAAACATTTTTATTTGCAAGGTCTGTTTAGCGATTTAGGCAATCAAATTTGCAAGCGTAGATTGAAACGCTACTTACTTTCTTACCTTACATACTCTTATTATTATGATGCATGGGAGATAGAAGATAAAATAACTTAACTTCTCCTCGATATTATTCCTTTAATTTTTTTTATCTATGGTATTTGAAAACATACATATTTAACTCAGTTTTTTACTCTTGTGGTGATATGAACATTAGAGCAGCTTGTGTTTTGAAAATTATTTTAATTTATAATTGTATAAACTGAAAGTTTTAAAAGTCATATTCCAGTTTTGTTGCATTATACATATTGCATAAAAACTTTATTTTGAGACGAAACTCCAGCCAGAAGTTTAGGGGATACTATGAGCCAAATAGGAAAATATTTGTGAGCTAGTTGGGAAGGTAATTACTTTATTCCGGTCTTTTCAGGCATCTTTTTTACTGATGGATATTTCTGGCATATACAAAGAAGATTTACCTTACGGTATTTAAGAGACTATGGCTTTGGAAGACGTGACGATACTCTAGAGTCAGTTGTAGCTGATGAGATCAAAGTAATGTTGGAAATGGGTTATGATGGACCTAAATATCCATCGGAAAAGGTGTGAATTTCAAAGCTCAATAATTTTAATAATATATAAAAAACTAATGTAAAGTGAAATATGTGTATTGCATATGGTTGTAGTATTTTTATTAGAAGGCAATTCAGATACTTTAAAACCACCATCCGCCGTCAATTTTGTCATTTTTCATAATAAATTGACACCATATTCGAAGTCCATAATGCCTTGGCATTGACAGAAGTAGTAAAATTTAAGTAGTAGTGTTCATTATTGTACACAACATGTAATAAAATCAGTATGGCCGTTTCGCTACTGTCACTGTAATGTGAAAAATGTAGGGTCACATGGTTAACAGGTACGCTTCGAATCACTCGCACAATTCCAGTTTTGATGATAATGTGTGTGTGAGCTATGAGCGCGCAAACGTTCCTCGTCCTGTCACTTCCCTACTCCTCCAGTGAGAGATTTACGTTTGTCATCAGCGAGCACAAAGGAAAAAAAATACGTAGGTAAGTGTATTTTTAATTTATAATTGTCTTCTGATTAAATATTACTTATTTATTTCGGTGTACTTTGTTAAATTGGTCGAAAAAGCGTGAAGGCTTAACAAATGTAACTCTGTATATTTGTGACATTAGTTTGTATTTCTTTTTTTAAATTATGCAACGGGTTGGTGCACACTGGATCGTATGGATCTGGTCCACAGTGGATTATGTGGATCGGGTACACAGTGAATCGTGTATGGACTTATTATTTTTATAAGTTGGTTTCAGAATGCCCAGACAAAGGGTTCAAAAATGAAAAGTGGGTGCTCATGCTGACCATCAGATGGAAACTGCTTTAAGGAAAGTAAAAGAAGGAAAAAGCTTTCGAAAAGCCGCAATCGATAACAGTATATCTTACACAACTTTGCAAAGGCACATTATGAAAGAAAGCGATCACCTAGAAGTTGAACAAAGGCTTACACCAAATTAAACCACAAATAAAATATTTTTGGATAAACAGAAACATATATTGAAATAGTATTTAATCTGTCTATCAACTAAAGACTGCAGACATGTAGCGAACGAAATGGCGCTTCATAACAATATCAAAATGACTCCCACTTGGGCTGAAGCAGACTGGTTAGGACATCCTGACAAATTAAAAGTCAAAATTCGTAGCGAAACCTATTACCAATAAAAAGAGTGATTATCGTCAACTTTCTTTACATTTTAACCTTAATGTGCCTCTGAAACTCTGAATTCTCGTAAGTCTACTGTGTACCAGTAGGTGATTCAACGTGTACCCCTCCGGCTTGTACACAGTAAATCAAATCCCGTTTAAAAAAGAATGAATCTGATCTGCAAATTTTTAAGCGATTCCATTACTTAATTTCGGAAATATACTTCGGAAAAAAAACAGGTGATCTATTGTTGACCATATGGCCCTACTTATTCACTGTTCATTCCTTTTCTGATATATATATATATATATATAATCTTGTAGTAACGTAACACAGTCACATATTTTGACTAAGGTGTAGAGAGTTTATGAAGTTAGGGCTTATGGAGTTAGGGAGTGTAGAGTTAGAACCTTTTTTAATTATATTTTTTTAGTAAAGAAGCTTGGCTCTACAAGAAATCTGTTCACTTCTTGACAGTGCGAGCTATATGGTCTCGTCTTGGCAACATTTTACATGAAAATGTTTTTGGTGGGATTAAATCTTTTTCAATTTGTCACCAGGAAGTGGTAAACGGAGACTTAATATATCTGCCTTTTTTCTTTACTGTACCTTTCGTGAACGGCATAGTTCATATACTATCACGAAAAACTGTACCCAGAGAACAATACAAGAAACTATGGTCTCTCGCTCGCGGAACGCTATTATTCCAAAGGAACTCCAATGATATGGGTGGAGCACTCTCCTTGACACCTTGGCTCAAAAATATAATGCCAAACTACAGTGGATACAATGCTTTGGTCAAAGGAAATCAATCTATACAGGATTTCTTTCAGGTATTTAATCATTTTTATCTGGGAGGGATGTTTTAAGATAATATGTATTTGTAATGGGAATTGAGCTTGCTCATTACCTGTGTGAGGATAAACTACTTATTTCCATTAATAAACCTACCTGTTCTAAATCTGTACATATAAAATCCCTTGTTCGCTACAAACTTGAAATTTTTGTATAGCTACTTCCTTTTTATGTTGTAGGCACCCACTAAGAAAAGATTTTTGGAATTTCCCCTCTGGTAAAACAAGGATTTGTTATTTCGAGCAAAACCGCGGGCAATAGCTAGTGTTTATATCAATAGGTTAAATCTTATGAAATAGCGTGGGTGCTTTTTAGAATTTAGCTGCGATTGGAGTGACAGGGGTGCTATCACGCCGCATGCCGCCGTCATCGCGGCGGTAAGACCCGTTATGGAGGATTGGCTCGAGAGGCGTCACGGGACCCTCTCATATCGACTGACGCAGGTGATCACTGGGAAAGGATGTTTCGGGGATTACCTGTGTCTGATCCGCAAGGAGCCAACGCCTGTGTGCCACCACTGCGATGGCCAGACCGTGGACACGGCTCGGCTCTCCACACGCTGGCAGAGTGCCCGGCGTGGGTTGAGCAGAGGCGAGACCTCGTGGCGGCCATCGAAGTGGGAGTTCTCTCGCTAGATAGCCTGATTGCGGCTATCGTGCGGAGCGAGAGTGCGTGGAACTCTGCCGTCTCCTTCTGCGAGCAAGTTATGCTCGAGACGGCGGGGCGGGACCGGGAGAGGTTTAGGACTCTCCCGGCCCGCCAGGCCCGGGAACGGGCCAGGTACCGCAGGCGACTCAGACGCCGGAGGTCGCAGAACGACCTCCGTCCTGCATAAGCGCAGGCCTGGGGGTGACAGGTAAGGCCATCTTTTTTTTTTATTGGGACTAATCCCACCCACACGCCCACCACTGTAACTCCTGTACACCAGGATCCACAGCAGTGACCCACGAACACACCGAGTTATGACACTCGGGTAGTCCCAGGAAGAAATTAAACTGTCTTGGAACCCGCAACGAAATTAATCAGAAGAAAATTGGAGGAGTTGGAAATACAGTAAATCCACTTCCCTCCTTAGCAAAGCGGGAGACAAAATGAAGTAAAATAGGCATACACCCTTTTAAACAAGGAAGCACCACGGCCACAAAATATTACGGGTCCTACATGAGCTATATTTGATTTCTATAATATGTATGGCAGAATCGCCTAAACGCACGGAAATTCACCCTAGTTGACACAAGATCCCCATAGTATACCGCCCCAGATGTCACCTGCAAGCTATTCAGCATTATATTACGTTCATTATACCAAAGACTACATTCCCAGAGGATATGATGAGCAGACTGTTCATAATGAGAGTTAGGTGTTGAGCATTGACACAATGGTGACTCGACTAATTTAAATGAATACAACTTGCTCTTAAAGTTACCATGACCCGTAAGAAATTGAGCGACACAGTGATCCACCTCAAGCCATATCCTCGACAACCGTTCGCGAACAGATGGAAAGAATTGGTAAAGATGGCGCCCCTTGGATGATTCGTCCCAGCGTTGCTGCCATTCGTCTATGAGGTCATTATAGACATCGGACTGCTGTTGAAGCAATCTTGTAATTTTACCGCGATCCCGCGCGCCCAAGAAATCGCATTCCATGTTTTGTCTTGAATAGTACATGGCTGCACGTCTCTGCACCTCGAGATCGACCGGAAGCACACCCGCCAACACTGGCAAAGCCTCAGTGCTAACCGTCCTATATGCCTTGCACAAAAATATCAGTGCAAGTCGTTGGCCTTGTAACAGTTTGCGACGGACAGCGCCTACGGTCGCCCTATCGGCCCATACAGGTGCACCATAGCACATAGAACCTAAATAAGTAGCTCCGTATATGATCTTTAATGTATTAAATGATAGACCCCATGTCGCAGTTGATATCCTTGTCAATGCACAGAAACTCTTTTTAGACTTTTCATTAACTATTTTAATATGTTCGATAAATGAAAAGTTTCTTTCTAAAACTAATCCTAGATAACACACTCTGGTTTTATTTTTTACAGTAACATTGTCAAATCTAATGCTCGGCGGTGATTTGAGGTTACCTTTTAAAAGTAACTGGAAGGTTTTGTTGGGTGCAAAAGTTAAGCGATTACGTTCACCCCATTGAGATATCAAGTTCAAACATCTATTGGCTAATCTCTCAAGCCCCGCCCTAGTATCAGATTCCACCAGTAATAAGCCGTCATCAGCATACGCGTTCAGAGTACATCCGGATGGTATTGGTATAGCAAGAAAATCGTCGAAGCCGATATTCCACAAGTATGGACCTAGCACCGATCCCTGAGGACATCCCATTGTAAGCGCCTTCGACACAGAATGATGACCAAGTCTTAGTTTAGTTGTACCTTGTGAGAAGTACGAAGAGATAAGGGAATAAATATTTTTGAAATCCAAGGCAATCTGTCACCCTAGCAGAAGCAGGCCGGGGTGGCGGCAAGCGCGGTGCGAAGCGCGCTTGCTTCCAGGGAGCAGAGGGAACATGGGGTTCCCACACGGGGGGGGGGGGGTCGTCTACCTGTTGTTGTAGATGGCCCGAGGTATGTGGTATCCGAGGGGATTGCCGCACGGAAAAGAAAAAAAAAAAAAGGGCTGCTATCATATTTATTTACCAATATTTGTTACTAGAATCATCTTTAGCATAATTCGTATAAATGTTTATTATTTCGGGAGATTGCATGTCCGGTGGTCCAGATTACAAAAGATACATTGCATGCAGTAAAAGTAACAGAATTATTTTGTTATACATAAAGTATTACATAAATCACAAATTACAAAATATTCAATTCGCAAAATTATTAACTTTACGCCATCAGGCTTTATCCATAAGCATCATTAATTCGACATGTAAGAATTCTCATGGTCATGAATTTAATTCTATAGTATTAATTTCATAATAGGAAAAGTTACTAGTACACACTTTAAAATTGATTTTAACGGACAGTATAATATTGATATTCACTGCCCGATGTCTTCAGCAGAAAACCTCCTCAATTAGAACCTTTGAAAAATTACAATATCGCCCTCTCGTAATCATGTTTTCTGATCCTGTTAACGGGGGCTGATTTTTGCTTTCGTACTTAGGCTACGAGATATTAGTTAATCATCATCATCTCAGTCGAGAGACGTCTACTGCTGGACATGGGCTTCCCCAAGGTTCGCCACTTACAAAAATTAATTAAAATTAAATTATTAATAGATAATTATATATTTTTTTAGAAACTTGTCAAGGACGCCCAGGAAACGCATGACATTACTTACGACCGTCATTTCTTAGATGTATATTTGACTGAAATGAAAAAAGAAATAACTAAAGAAAAGCGGAGTACATTTTCAGGTAACTGTTTTGTTAACTAAATTATAGCATCGTAGGGTTCAATGGTTTTAAATAATATTATAAATAAACTCGGTTCCAAAAATAACGGGTCAGTCACATAAACCCGAATATCGCCCGAACTACGTATGCCATCCTAATGAAACGAAGACTGTTCAATTGAGAATTTAATTATACAGATAAAAAATAAAATAAAACTTAAATCTAAACTCTCTAACTCTTAACTTATCTCTAAATTAAAAAAAACTAAAGTAGTCATATTTTTCTTAAGATCAAATTTTTTATGATTGTTTTTTTGCTGTTTTTCATCACTTTCTTCATTTAATACTTTGTATTGCCTCCACAAGCTCTTCTGACAGCTTCCAGGCGATTAGGCATGCTGTACACCAAATTTCGGAGCCGGTGCTGACGAATACCTTCCCATTCCTAAACCAGTGCTTGTTTGAGCTCGGGAAGCGTGATTGGTAGGGGGTTTCGACCTTTCACGCATCTCTGAAGCTCGTCCCAGGCGTCCTCGATGGGGTTTAACTCCGGGCTTCGCGCTGGCCACTGCATGAGTTCGATACCGACCTCTTCAAGGTAGTCATGTACAATTCTGGCGGTATGGGGACGCGCATTACATGCATTAATATGCCATGCCGGTCCATCCTGGCCATGAAAGGACCTACATGTTCATTGAGGATCTCTTCCACGTACCTCTCTGCATTTAGAGTTCCATTTTGAATGAGTACCAGCTCGGAGCGGGCCTCAGTAGAAATCCCAGCCCAAACTTGTACGGAGCCTCCACCGTACGCCACTTTTTCCCCACACACCCTTGATGGAAGCGCTCCCCTGGTCTTCTGTACACCAACTGCCTACCATCATGCTCATAAAGCATGAATTTAGACTCGTCCGTGAACATTACCCTAGACCAATCGTCTAGTGTCCAGTTTAGGTGCTCGCGCGGCCTGTCTTCCCTGGCCGTTGTGCATCTTGGTCTGCCATTTCCTGGTCTTCTAAGGTGTGATCCGGTCTCTTGGTACCGCTGGACTACCCGCTGAACAGTCGACAAAGATACACCAATGTTTCTGGCTGTTTCACGCTGGCTCCGCCCAAGTTCCAAAAAAGTTAGGATTCTGGTACATTCCTCTAGCGTGACTGCCATGCTTCACCTCACAGAATAATAATTATGCACGTGGAAGACGTTCACGATATTTTTTTTTGTGACAGAATAGAAATGGAAAGCATCTATAATGAAATGAAACAAACATTTTGTTTTTAAAAATAGTCATTTTTTTTAATTTTGTTTTTCTAATGAAGTTTTTTTCATCAACCAGTTTAAATAATATGCTATTAGAAGCGCAACTAAAAAGTCTTTATTCTGTTTTTTATTTCATTGATCTAACTTTTACAGTTCTGGAGGTATTTCAATTTTTGTGACTGACCCGTAATTTTTGGAACCGAGTGTAGTTTTAGTTGTAGTTTTCTGTTCCTGTTTTTTTTTTTATAATAGTAACAGAATAAACATGTTACTAGATTACCCACTTTTAATGGGATTTTTCTATATACACAAATAATGTTTTTTACCTCTATCCTTCAGGCTTATTCTAAATTTAAATTAATGGTATGCCGATTCCCTCTTGTCCTCAACAGCAGTGACCCATGAACACACCGAGTTATGGCACTTAGGAAGTCTCAGGCAAAATTAAATTGTCTTAGAACCAGCAGCACCCTTCTTGGTTTCCCTTTTCATATTTTTCTAATTATCCCATTTAATTCCCAAAAGTACCTGGGCGATGACTGTAGGCTTGCCTCCTATTAAGTGGGACTAAATTATATTCTACAAATCTTGGGCCTTTAATACTTATCTGCTTACCCGTCCGGGACTACAAACTTATGTGTAGGTATGTGTTTAAAAAAGATGTCCTAAACAATTATAAAAACATATTCCAGTGGATCAGCTAGTCCTGACGTGCGTTGACTACTCGTTTCCCGCAGCGTCAGCAGTCCAGTTCACGCTGACATTCCTAGTGGAAAGGCTACTGTTGCAGCCTGAAATTCAAGACAAGATCCATGAAGAAATTGACAGAGTAGTGGGACGAGACCGGCTACCTAACTTGGATGATAGACGAAAGTATATGATTTATATACTATTTACTTATTAGTGTGCCTTCCTATCTCATGCGCTGGAAGTATAACTAGTAACTTTTAGCGAATGTCGTTTTAGGGAAAAATGTTCAAGATCCATTAGCTGCTTTTTATTGTAGTAGTTGTTATTTTCTCTGTGTATAATTACTAAAGAACTTCAAATCAATTAACTTGTACTGAAGAACAATTCAAAAGAAGACAGTGGGAAAAGGACCAATTTGGTGCACGTTGAGGGTTTTTAGCTCAGTATATCACTACAAGAGCATACATTTGCCGTCATATATATTGTGGTACAAAACTAAATTCTTTGTACTGTGTGTAATATGTATTGGTGTAGTATATGATAAGTTTGTATATGTGTAAATATGTGATTTGGGATCCAGCTCTAATTGCTTTAAGTATAAAATTAACTGTAACCAAAATGCATCTACTTCCTGTTTTCTCTGCATCACGCAATGCTTGACTGGTAGAGAATGCCTTTGGCATTAAATCCGCCAATGCATCTAATGTGCATGACGTGGCAAATAAATAAATGACATCGAAGCGTTTGTAAAGGCTTTCAGCTTGTGGACCTTTGCGGAGCCTCGGCATGCGTGTAAACGCAGCATTAATGTAGTTGCATTAATCAGCTAACTGTAATTACCTTCTGCATTGTCACTAGCATGCCGTATGTGGAGGCATGCATCAGAGAGATTTTGAGATATGACACAACCGTGCCATTGAGCATACCACACCGTGCAATGATCAACACAAAACTGGCCGGCTATGATATACCCGAGGTAAGAATATATATCTTTTCTTAAGCAACCGTTACAGCCTACCGTTCTAGGAATTATTTTGTATATTTTTTATTTAGAATACTATGGTGAGCCCGCATCTGGCAATGCTGCACATGGACGAAGAAATATGGGGCGACCCACAGAATTTCCGACCGGAACGATTCATCAAGGACGGACAATTAGACCTCGCTAGCGATAAGTCTCTACCATTTGGAGCTGGTAGGTATTTAATTAAAATCTTTTATTTTTCTTATTTGATTATGTTCATGATGTTAAGTGACTGATGCGTAAGCAAATTTAATTTCGAAAGAGTCAAGTTAATAGCTATAAGTAATATATGTGCCCATATAATCGTAAGAAACTTCATTTGCAATTGAATATATATATATACTTGTTGATCCAGATCAACAGATTTCTATGTAAATATATTTATATTTACATAGAAATTTTAATTCACTAAAAAAGTACGTTAAAAAAATTGGTTGCCTGTAAAGTCGGTATACGGGCGAAAGTTTTACGTGACAATGACGAGTGGTAAAATAATTTTAATGTGAATATTCATTCGTATAGTAGGAAGAAGGATGAAATAATAGTAACAATTTAAAACATTTATTTATACAAAGAATTATATTTAAGAAAGGGACGCGAGCCTTTCACTTTTTATGTCTGTCTCTCTCGCTCTTAGGCGGGCTAACCATGCCCGAGTGGAAGGGACGCGTGCCTCTCACTCGCTCTCATTGTGAGCGCATAACGTGAGCGGAGCGTAACGCAGTTTCTTGAAGTGTCACCCGGCAAACCAATTTATAAGACGTTGTCACGTCAAAAAAAATTGACATTTGTATTTGCTAAAAAAAATATCTTAGTATTTTAATCGGCTTCTATTATGACAAGCTCTGCTTAATTTGGGTCTAAATAGCGAAGTCCTAAAATCACACGCGAAATATTTTATCAAATTCGTTTAATTTTCAAAAAGTTTTAAAAGCCTTAACAAAAAGTAGTTTATACATGTATATGAACAATGATGTATTTACTTATACGTTGTTGTTATGATACCAAATATTAACCAATAAATTTTGGAGTTGATGTGTTTTTCCCCGCAGGGAGGAGACTATGTGCCGGTGAAACTTACGCTCGCCAGACAATGTTCCAAGTATTCGCCGCGTTTATGCAAGCGTTCACTGTATCTACAGCAGACGGGAAGCCATTACTTAGGCCTGCGAAACGAATCCAAGGCATTATAACCACGATACCCGAGTTCTGGGTTAGAATCACGCCAAGAACTTGATTGAACTGTAATTTTTACTTTTGATGACATAAGACGTAACGTCGTACATTATTGCTGTTGCCATTACATCTGTTCTTCCATATCTGGGTTAAGCGGGTTCAATATAATCGTTTGACAGTTTAATTTGAATAAAGTCTATAAAACCGGAAATTTCCAGGCTATTTGTATTTTTTGTAATATGTACTTCACTACTGCGTATACAATATTTTACCCTGGCAATCACTCTTTCGAGCCGAGCTGATAACCTGTTTACATCCCAATTAACTCAGAACGACTGTTTGAAGAGGCGGCTGGGCCGCGTTGTAACAAGCAACTGACACTCCTTAAATATTTTTGCCAGGTTTAATCCGAAGTAAACCGAAGTAATAAGTAGAAAACAACGCTTAAATATGAGGAGTATTCCCATAACTCGGGGTGCTTTTTACTTTAATTTTATAATAACTGCAATTTTATGAATATTGTAACTTTTTTATAACTCTTCTTTCTTTTGATGAGATTGGAAATCACTGTTAAAATTTTAATTAAAATGAACTTGTTGAATTTATATCGTTTTATAAAACTATTTATATTTTAAAATCATTATGTTGATTTTAGTTCGGTATTCTATCAAATCGCATTTAAGAACACGACGCAAAACTCACTAAGACATTGCAGTCGTGGCTCGGGCTAGCACTTGAAAAGACCTTCGGGACTCTACAAACACCTAAGAGTCCAGACCAGACATATGAGTATTTCTTTATGCAATGTCAATAAGCGTGTAGCGTGAGGGGTATACCAGCTAAATCCTTCTATAACCTGCTCAAAGACCTTGCTCTTTTCTAGAAAGAATATTCAAAGCGGTATTGCTAGGCTTATATCAAATATGGTTAGGCAAAGGGGGTAACACAGTAGACAGTGGAGGTGAGTGCTGACGCGTCGCAAGGAGTACTCCCTAAACCTATTCCTCGGTCGCAATTCCCAGGCCCTGACAAAGTCGCATGTGTTACCCCAATCTCTTATTATTTCTTATTTCGTGGTCTTGTATTGTAAGCTTTCCTTGATAATTGTAAAAACTCTTAAATTTAACGGACCATATTGAAGATCCTTGCTAAGTGTACAAAGTTAACGGACGTATTGAAATTGATGAAAAATAACTTCGTTAAAAATACACAGACAGATAAATACAGGGCAAAATGTAATCACAAGATTGAGAGTTAGACTCCTCTGACTCTAATTATATTTGTTTTCGAAACTGCTTCAAAGGTCAATCCATTAATCTTATTATCAATGTTGTGATAATTATAACTACTGAAAATTAGCGTTATTATCTCAAAATATACATACATTCGGTATTCTACATCTTGACATTATTATTTCTACTGAGAGCTCTGTTCCCTGCATTAAGATTAGAGCTGTTTACTGGCAACTGGCCAAACGCAATGATATATTATAATACGTCATTGGTAATCCGTGACATAAGTGCGGAGCGTCGTGTGTGTGTGCGTAGTAGTTGTTATGCTTTCGTGTGATGGTCGTGTTTTTCTAGAGGGAACCCTTTCTAGTGCCCACGACCTCGTCAAGTCCGACTAGGCACACTATGAAAATTTATGATTATGACGCGCAAGGGCAGGCTTTAAGGCATGCCTTTGCAATAATGTATTTTGATGATAATTAAGAAAGTAGAGAATGCCATTGACAGAAGCATTTACAGTTTTCTATAGCACAAAGGATGACGGTTTCATTACGACGGTTAGGAAAAAGTGGCTCTTTGTTTTATACGTATAACAACAGTAGAATAGATTAGTGTATCTACTTACTCTATTCTAACAACCGAAATCTACATTCTAAAAACCATTAAGTATTTAAACCGTTTTTTGACAAACACTTGGTACGTAGCGTTCGTTAAAGACTAAACGTCGACGAACACAAAAATCCCTTTTAAAACTTCGAAAAGTTTTAGGGGTGCTTCCATGCGAGAGTGCGTGGAACTCTGCCGTCTCCTACTGCGAGCAAGTTATGCTCGCGAAGGAGACGGTGAAGCGGGACCGGGAGAGGTTTAGGACTCTTCCGGCCAGGTACCGCAGGCGACTCAGGCGCCGGAGGTCGCAGAACGACCTCCGTCCTCCATAAGCGCAGGCCTGGGGGTGACAGGTGAGGCCATCTGTCACCCTAGCAGAAGCAGGCCGGGGTGGCGGCGAGCGCGTTGTGAAGCGCGCTCGCTTCCAGGGAGCACAGGGAACATGGGGTTCCCACACGGGGGGGGGGGGGGGGGGGTCGTCTACTCGTCTGTAGATGACCCGAGGTATGTCGGGGCACCAGGGACTTCCTTTCTAGGGTATACCTGGTTCCCCGGCTATTAGTACTAGGCTAGTAGTAGAAAAAAAAAACAAAAAAAAAAGGGGTGCTTCCATAAATTAGCATTAAGTAACTGTGTATTTTAAATAGGTACCTATTCAATTTCCCTATATGGCTATTTTTTACATAATTTTCTTAATCAATTTGATTTAAAACTATTGAATGTTTATTAATTGAAACTATGTATCTACAATGTGTTTTAAATCAACCAATCTTTATATAATATATATATACCTATATATATACATTTTCGACAGGAAGTAAACATTTCATACATACAGGCATAGAAATCTTAGAAACGTTTGACATTTTTTAAAGACCAAAAGGGTACTGTGTCACGTCTTATCAATATACGTACATATGTATATTAGTAGAGCAAACATATTTCGTCGATAGGCGCGTGGTAGAAACGGCGCGAAAAGTTTGGCTAATAAAAGTGCGAAAAAGATGTTTAGAGACAAAATACTGGAAAAGTTGTGTGTTAACAGTTAAAGTTAACATGAAGTTGTGTTGGGTCAGCTAGTTTATAATGTAGTCTGTATTCTCGCTTCAATCCTCTTGATGCCACACTGATATCACACTCGTGGCACTCAAGGGAAATGATTTAAAGATATCCACCAGTTTGGTGGATATACTTTGTAAATGTAGCAAAAAGAGTTCTTTATCTTCTGTGGGTAATATTAGACATCAAAAAACTTATTGATAGCAATGTACTGTATTTCGTAGTTGAATAGCGATGTGATGTAATGTGTACGGCGCGGTTTCTAGAGAATTGTCTATGGTTGAGTCGTCGTTGTCTTCGTGTGTTGCTGTTAGCTTTGAAAAAAAATGTAGACGCACGTAACGTTCGGCGGTCTTATCGCTCAGATCAAATTGTTTATTTGCATAACACAGGTATAATTACATGGTGGTGGGTGTGCAAATTTTCAATTTTATACATGCATAACATTAAAACATAATTATTCATATTATTACTATCATTGATTATATTATTGTAGAAAGATTAATCAACTGCATGAATTCAAAGTCAAACTACTTAATGTCAGAAAGAACAAAAATAATTATAAAGAATAAACCACACATACAACAAATTGTTAGATATAAAGTCTATTACATTTCAATTTAGTCAGGAGCTTTTTAATTGAGACCTAAATGGCGATCTTTGAGATCATTTATGAACAGATTTGAAAAATCTTTTTTTAGAAGTGGTTTTTTAAAGGTTTGGTCTGATTCAAATTTAAAGGGAAAATACTAACACTCATAAGGGCCGAATAAAATAAGTATTGAAATATATAGTTCATTTCAATTCATTGTGATGTTAAGTATTAAAGTCAGCGAATTTTTTTAGTAAGTAAATTATATTTATCATTTAAATACACATAGGCATAGTTTATTTAAAGTAGACTCAAGTAAAACCGCTACTAAGTTGATTGTTACCATTCATCCCGTGGGTGTCGTAAGAGCACACTACACAGGATAATAGCACAGCAAAGAGAAGGCAAACTAGACACCAAACCCTATACCAATCCGTCTGGCCAGCGTGGTATATATAGTAGGTTAAAACCACCTTGTGATTTGATGATGATACTATTACATTACAGAACTTAATATTAAATTTATAGATGTGAAAGTGAACTGTAATGTTTATTTGTGTGTTATTCTTTCATGCCTTAACTACTAAACAGATTATAGGATGAGCTTTTGCATAGGTACAGAATAGAACATACAAATATAAAATATATATACATAAAAATATTAAGGTCACTTAAATATTATTATTATTATTTTCTCGAGTCCAACAAATAGGGCTTATTCCCATAATCAAGGAGTTATTAAAAGGTAGAATTAAGTTCCTTTATGCTCCAGCTGTTCTAGCGGGAGTCTACTTGTCTAGTCAGAGGAAATGCCGACAGCTTTAAAAAACAAATTTTCGTGTTCAATTATCTCAAAGGTCCAAAAAAAATATCATTTAAGAAACTCTTTAATACTGCTGCAGGATAAAATTCTATAAATAATAAACTGTACTTAATATTTATTAGCTCAGGAACAATATATCAGCTACCATGAGCTGCTGTTGCTTAGGAGACCAGACCCAGGTTCAGATGCAGCACTGTTACAAGGCTCTGTAATGCTCGTTTCTACTTTCTTCCGATTATTCAGAAAAGGAAATGACTGCATCTGCTTATACGTTTAATTACGTATTGCGTTTTTTTTTCTGACAGGCATTGTATTATATTATATACATATTGTCGGGTTCGAAACGTATAACGTTATAATTTGGGTAGCTACGTACATTAATTTGTTTGTAATACCTTGTTTATAGAGTTTTAGGTAAAGATAATTATTTGCACCCTTTTGCATGCAAATATCGAGTTAAAATATTTATAATTAACATATGTAGAATTAAATTAATAAGTAATTCAATATCCTATAAGACGTCACCGCGGTCATTGAACCGGTGGGTCACTGAGAGATATCTTTTCTGCTTGTTCTTTTTTCCTTGTAATACTTTTATAAACAAAGTAAAATAAACCTTCCACAGCTGGTTCTGTAACTTGTGGCCATTGACGTACTGTATAACACAAATGTCATTAATCCAATACCAAGAATGAAAAGCTGGTAAGAGCCTTAATCGTAAGGCACATGGCTGTTGTGAGGCGGCACTTCATCCGTGATAATTGCTGTTTCTCAAAACCTATTTGGCCAGAGAAAGAGGAAGAACGGGTCTCGTCCGATCCGAAAGCGCTATATAACGAACCACATAATGTGTTTCTGGATAATTAATATCAAAATACAATAAAAAAAAAATATTTAGTTACAGTTGCAAGAAAACAATATATTAGTCTATAAAAGAATGCTTGCTATTCGCATGGACAAGTCCTAGACTTTTATCAGTGGCCTCAAACACGTAGCGACATTAGTTGTTCTGACAAGTCACAACTCATAAATTAGGTTATCAGAAACAGTTGCTGAATCATGTATGCACATAAGCTTTGTTCTTTAATGTACTTACTATCACAGTTATGAGTTAAATACAAGAACACAATTAGGCGTAGATGTGTAACATTCACATTATCTCGCTGTATCTATAATATCTATATATTTATCTATTCTATAAAATTTTGTCTATGTAGTCATTTCGTCTATCAATGCCTAACTTCGCATAACCAAATAAATATCTTAGACTTTAAGACAGGACTAAACGGCGAGGTGACCGCTTAAACCACTACACCATAGTGGTTTAGTCCGAGTCTGGGTTTTCTTTGTGTCCGTTTGATGGATATTTGTAAAGACGTGACACACAACTCGCCTTTTATATTGTTTAAATTAATATTATTAGGTAATTAAATTTTTATAGAATATCTTAAATTAAGGATAACACATTTTTAAAAAAATATTTTTTACATTGGAGTAAAACAAGTAAAAAATATTTTTTCCCAAAAAAAGGTTTTCTTCAAAAAACTATTTTAAAAAATCTTTGGAAATTAGAAGAAATCGGGACTCCTAAAATTATATTCAAATTGTTTTTACTCCAAAGGATAAAAAGTAAGTTTGAAAAAATAAGTTTAAATTGAAATGCAAGAAATTAGATGCTGCCAACTATCTGCTCCGCTGCAGCTGCGGAGCGGAGCGGAGAAATGAGCATGTATGAATAATTATATGATATTTATTTCTGTAAGTAAATTTCGATATTTTTACAAGTCGGAGTTTTAAGCTCTTAGGATGTGCTCAAAAACTAACTGGACGTTGCAAAAACCCTGGTTTGCCCCAATTCCCCAGGCGCCCCTCCCCCACCCTCCCACCTAGATCTGGGGTTGATTGTTGTTAACATTAAGTTTTTGGTATTTATGTATACGTCGTACTCAGTATCGGATGAAGGGTCGTAAGAACTTGATGCGAATATTGTATTGTCGCGTGTTCAGTTTGTTGGCACAATGATCGCCGCAGTGGTCCTCGCTCTCTTGATACCTGTTTTATTTGTTTATTACTACAAAAATGCGTACAAAAGGCCGAAGAACTTTCCACCAGGTGAGGTTATATTCATATCAATTTATATAAATTATGTGTTTCTCGTAATCTCTACAATTTATAAAAATATTTACTTATTTCTTTATTTAGGTAAAAATGATCTGTCTTTATTTTGCAACTTTACTTTTCAATGTATTTTAAGTCAAAGTTCTAGATAGAATTTATCATGTTTTTATATTATTCTCTTATAAAATTCGTTGTTATTTTTTTTTAATGTGTCACGCGCAGAATATATAAATAATAAAATAATTGCGCTTTAGTAATTGTTTACTTACACTTACGAAATGATAAATAAACTTAAAGTATTTTTGCGATAAAATCTTACGAAGTCCAAAATACAGTATGTACCAACAACTTACCTTATTACAGTGCAGCGCGCAATTAAACAAATAATACAAGATTCAATATTGAGTTTATAAATAATTATTTGTTTTTTACACGCAGTTCTATAGTCCTGTAAAACTGTTTTTCTTCATATCTATGGTGTGTGATGCTAGAAGGTTGAACGTAATTTTTTGTTTTCTCGTTTTGTACAAACCAAACTAGATTCCTGAACTAAAAAATAGAAAATATTTTTAAGAGTTACTAAAGTAATAATTGTAAATGATATAAGTCCAACTCTTACAAATGTTTTTAAACTATTTGTTTTGTTTAATACGAGTATTTTGAAAGAAAGAGCCTTCAGTTTCATTATTGCTTCACACCAATTTCAATTGGTCAAGGCATTCATGTAAATGATCTTTTACAAAATATATATAAAAACACTTTCAATAACTCTTTGCAATACAAATATTACTTAGGAAGTTAGCATTAAAAACAAGAAGGTAGGATAACTATCCTGTTTTTTTTTTGTATAAACATGAAAACTAAGACAAATAACGGCAATGAGTTTCAAATCTATTTGAATCATTACATGCAATATAAACTTTATTACTTAATATAATCAAGCCCGCTTAATATAATCAGATTAATAATAATAATAATTGTGTTTTTACTATCACCTGATTATTTATCACCTGAACAGTTTAACTAAGTAAAAACATGAATTAAGATTAAAAAATAGAGACCAAGTGCGTATTTAGCCACACGCAATAAAATATAAAATCAAAATCAAACGGAACCCCGTTTGATTTTGATTTTATATTTTATAGCAAAATTCTTAAGTCGGTACAGTTTATGATTAGAGTGACTATGATATAAAACTAAGAGAGCCTTGCAGTGGTATTCTTTTTTTGTGAAACCGGTTTCTTCGTATTAGCCTTCTCGTTAACCTAATTATTAAACCTATTAGAATCAAACATTATAAGGAATTACCACTAAACCGATTTTAAACATTCTTTTCCCCATGGAAATGGGCGGTTGTAGATCGGCGACAGACATATAAGATATTTTCGATACGTATATATTTAGTTTGCTAAATATTCGACAAAACAGAGGTTATTGTCGATTTCAAATACTTTTTATTTTTTTATGAAATAAAGATATTTGAGTTTGAGTTTCACCAATGAAAAGCTACATTATCAGCGAGTAACATAGGCTCATTTTTTACCGTAATAATCGTCAGACACGTGGGCGAAGTTGAGGGCAAAAGCTGTTTTATTAAATGTTTGTCATTTTATCTTATTAAAACTGCTAACATATATTAACACTATTCATCGTTTCAAATGTATTAAAATGCTTTTCATCAGGACCTCCGAGTCTGCCCGTATACGGAGCCTTCTGGATTGTCCTAGCTCATGAGTTCAACGACCTGTCCACAGCTTTCCGCAAGCTTGGACAGAAATACAATACAAAGATTATAGGATTAAATATGGGACCAGCACAGACCGTCGTTATTAACGACCCAGCTCTTATTAAGGAGATGTTTTACAGAGAAGAGCTGGATGGTCGTATGGATATAATACTGTTCAGGTTGAGATCGTTTTGGAAGAAACTTGGTAAGTTTTAGTATAAGATTATGCATTACTCAGAATTATAGTAATTCATGAAGGTATTTAAAAGTGCATAAAATTCTCTACCATTAAAGTACCTAAATCAAAACAACACTAATAGTCAAATTATCAAAATAACACTCAAAAAATCAAAATATATTTTATTAATTTGTAAAACAAGTTTTTTAAGGGACAAAAGATAGTCTCTGACTTTTTCTGTACCCGTAGCAACATGTATTAAAACATAAAAGAAGAGTTGAGTTTGTTTAATCGTGTAAAAGAATATCAAAAACTAAATTCGACAATTAGAATGTTGCTTAAGAGCGTTTTTGCACTACGTCCGATCCGAATTCGATCCAAACCTGTGAAAATACGGATCAATAATACTATTTTGATCTACTACTTTGATCAATCAATAATCTTGTCCGGAATGGAGATTCACGGATAACGGAAAGCAATCGGATGATAGAAGTCGGATCTAGTGCGTAAGCTACCATAGAAATAGTTCCACGACTACTTCAGACCGTATTCACAGGGATTGGGATCGGATTATGATTGGATGTAGTGTAAAACCGCTCTTACGATGAAACTGACACTGCGTAGAAATCAGTGCGTACTGTTTTTATTATTTTCGATCACTAGAAAAAAACTCTGACCTATTATTAATTCGGTCGTCATTTGACTTAACAGCCTTAAAGAGTTCTGCCTCTTTGAGGCTATTAAGTCAAATGACGACCGAATTGAGTAGTGGTTTCTGTAACGGACTGCTATTCCAAAGGTCGCGGTTTCGATTCCCGCTCAAGTGAAACATTTGTGTGCATGAACATTTAATGCGGTCTGGGTGTTTCTGTATATAATAATTATGTATTTAAAAAACAAGAAAGGATATATGTATTTATATCAGTTATCTAGTAGCCATAGTACAAGCTTTGCTTAGCAAACTAAGCAAAGCTTGTACTATGGCTACTAGATAACACATTCACACAACGCCATCTAGTCCCAAAGGACTAGATGGCGTTGTGTGAATGTGGTAGAACATTATTATTATTATAAATATCATGAAAAATAAAACATGGTAGGATGAGTTTCAGTTTGAGTTTGACCAGTACATGTTGCGAGCTGATGGGAAGTACTGTCGACATGGTATCTTAACCTCCACTCCATAGCATATGTAGATAAAAGTCTATGTACATTAACTACTGGTATTAATAGAACTACTGTTCCACGATTTTGATCTAACCTTGTCAAAACTGACTACACAATTATTATTAGAAAGGGTATTTTCCTAAAGTATGTTAAAAGTTACAAAAGTATCAGTTAAAAACTTTTTAGTATATAATAATACGTTCAAACGCAGTTTTGATTGACAACCCAAAATTAACAGTTCAAGGATCTACCTTTAAACACAAAGGGACGGGCATGTACTTAATAATATAGTCGTATCGCGTGCTTCAGCTTTGAGGAAAACTTTCAATGACTGACAATGGCTTTAATGAAAAAGTAAATACAATGTTTTTAAGGAAAATCATATGAACTTGTAAATAAATGTGCTTGTACAATAAAATTATCAATCTGACAATTGACCTATCCTATCGCCGTCTAGGCCGGATCGCTACATATGTACAAAGTTTCTAACAGAGTCGAGTATGATAAGTAATAATGTAAATTATATATTTGTACTATACAAAGACAATAATGTATTAAAGTAAAAAAAAGTTTATGCACTTGTAAGATGACATAAATACTTCCCGTCGTTCTTGCTCTTATCGTCAGTTTAACAACATTATAACTGATTTAAAGTAAAAGAGTTTCCCTTATTTAGAGCCAACGACTTTTTCTGATGTTTTCTATGAATGCGATTTAAAAAGAATTTTTTTACAATTGCTTCTTCCTAACCAAATTTGTCAAACCTTGGTAAATTATTTATCACACATCACATCAACAGCCTTTAATAGTCCATTCCTGGTCATAGGCCTCTCTCTAGAAAGAAGGTTTTGGCCTACTATATCACGCTGGCCAGACGGGTTGGTATAGGGTTGGTGTAAAGTTTTCGTTATCTTTGCAGTGCTGTTGTCCTGCGTAGTTTGCTCCCTTAGTCGGTTCTTACCACACCTACGGGATGAATAGGGGTGGTTACTCCGTATACTTAATCCGTCATCACACGGACCAAAATAAATAATAATAATATTCTACCACATTCACATAACGCCATCTAGTCCCAAACTAAGCAGAGCTTGTACTATAGGTACTAGACAACTGATATAAATACATAGAAACTTTTTTTTTGTAAATACATACATATTATGCAGAGAAACACCCAGACCAAATCAAACATTAAAAGTTAATGCACACAAATGTTTGACTTGAGCGGGAATCGAACCCGCGACCATCGGCATAGCAGTCCGTTAAACAAACCACTGGAGTAGTGGTCTACTCTATCTGATAGTCCAAGAACTATTATTATTAAAAAAATCTGAGTAGTGCAAATCTAAGAGCGTGCGTACAAACTTCTAAAAACATACATCCTTACAAGTCCATCTCCCTACAAACTTCACTATACCGTTTCAAAAATATTTACGTATTAAATCGACCCTGACGTACAACCATGTATGTACACGGTTGTACGTCAGGGTCTATTTAATACTTTGATTTCAATAACTTGACAGCTCCTAAAGCAACCAACAAAGCAGCAATTCAGTTACTTTCTCAAATTTTGTCTCTCTTTTTTCTAATATTCCATAAATAAATATAGGACTCGTCTGTTTCTGTAGTTTCTGCTTCTGTTCATAAATATTTTGTAGGTTATTTGTATTTATTGCTTGGCAAGCAATCTAATGGTAAACGTGGAGCGTGTTCTTATTGGTTATCTTAACTGTTAGGCAAACAAGTAATACGCAGTAAACATATTATATCACTTATGATAATAATAATAATTTTACACATATCACACACGACAGCCTGGAGACTCCCCTGGGGGCTAGGTGTGCCGCTTCTTGAAAGTTCGCCACCCGGGCCATGATCAAAGTGTCATAAGCGTAACAAATTACACCCAGCCCGGAGGGAAAATTAGGTCGAAGGGCCCAGTCGTAACCTATGCTCCACAGGAGTGTTTCAAGGGCAGACCCTGCGGAACACAGCACGACATGGCCCGATTCCTCAAAACACCATCTCGGTCCTCGTACATGACGGTACGCTCCTCTGAGTAGTCTGCCACCAGCCGCCTCAGGTACCCTGGCACCCCATGATAGAGAAGCGCTTCCCTGATGCAGCTAAATGGCAGACTGTTAAATGCATTGGCGATGTCCAACGATACCGCCAACAGCACGCCGCCACAGCTCACCGCCTCTTCGGTCTCGGCCCTCGGGCGTAACACAGCACCGACAGTCGAACGCCCGGCTCGGAAGGCGAATTGGGCCCCCAATAAATCAGGGCCGACCTCGCGCTTGTGCCGGACGATGCGGGCAGAGAGAACTTTCTCAAACAATTTACCCGCCTCGTCCAGCAGTACGATGGGCATGTAGGCCGTCCCGGCTTCCTCAAGAGCACCCGCTCTTCCAGCACTCAGGTAAGCGACCGGCCGCCAAACTAGCTTCGAACACCTCCCCAAGGCGGTCTGTCATGTGATTGAGGGCCAGGGCCAGCACTCGGGCAGGGATCCAGTCTGGTCCAGGGGCGGTTTTCTTGGAACGGATCCGTAGAACAGCCGCCCCTATCTCCGAATCTGTGACGGGTGGAACACCGTCCTCCTAATTCACCCCGTCGTCTCCGTTCAAAGAGGCGATCGACGGGAGTGTGCTCCGCCCGTTGCGGGAAAAATCCCTCAACCTCTTACTGCAGGAAGTTGGGCTGGAGAGTCTCAGTAAGGGGGCGATTTTCTCCCAGTTTACCTTAGGGTGGTGCTAAAATGTGTGACTAGGTGCACTAGACATTGATGTGTAAAGCATGTGTAAAGTAAGAAAAACTATAGGTACTCATTAATTACCAGGTACTTGATTTAATTTGGTTTAAATGAAAGCCTTCAAAGTTTTTTAGTTTTATTGTTACCATTCTTTTACCACTTTTTTTTTTGTTTATAATAATATATTTACTGATATTTTAGAAAAAAATGTATTGGATACTTTGTTACTTTCAGTATTTAGGCTATAGAAATTATAGCCTAAATACTGAAAATAAAATATGTATAAACATAATTAAAATTAAATGTAAACAATACAAGGACGTGAGATATATAATACCTCGCTGAATATAATTCACATTAGCTATGGCGATGGCTCCGGTCAAAGCGATAAGACATTTCAATGTCAAAAATATCTTATCCTCAATCAATGTCGTTCCTCTTCCCTTCAGTAGGTAAATAGATGTTACCTGAACATAATGTTGATATTGTGATTGATAATTTATAAGGTACCTACAACCAATTAATTAATTTATACAGCTCAAAATTATTCATACGAAATGTTTATGTTAAAAATTTTGGTACGATATTATTAGTTTTATGGCGATAATTTTACTCAAATGTCATTGTAACCTTACCGAAGACTGTGCTGTATACGGAATTAGTATTCAATATTTTCCCCAGCAGAAGTAAGTTGGGATCATTACCATAGTAATATGTAGTACGCGCTGTACATATTGTAATACATAATAGCTTACTCTCAGCACAGATATCACCAAACCCTGACACACACTCTTGATGCCAGCCTTTGTAAGTAGTTACTTTGTGACCATTGGTCGCTATCCCATACATCGCCTTTAAACAAACTCGTGCAAAATAAATCTATCAATCGCACCTTAGATGTATTTAGAGAAAAATAAATTTTATACATACCAAATACAGTGTGTAGTCAATACTTAATACTCAATACATAATAATAAAATAAATAAAATACGGTGTAAAATAATAAAATATGGTGTACCAGATTGTACCCGTGGTCTTTGCTTGTCTTCACTGAGCCTAACGAATTATTTTTATGAATTTTAATCTTTTTATGCACCTCTGACAACATTTACATCAAATTTAATAATTATGTTTTCATTAGTAAGAAAAGACGTTAAAGCTTAACAGACAGACACTGACAAAGTTACTTTAGCATGTACATAATATAATACTGGTATTTTAATTTCTAAGCCTCACCACCCGCTATTTAATCTTAACATGATATTATTATTATTATTTTAGGTATCTTCTTTACCGATGGATACTTCTGGCATACACAAAGAAGATTTAGCTTACGATATTTAAGAGATTACGGCTTTGGAAGACGTGACAGTACTTTGGAAGCCGTTATAGCTGATGATATCAAAGAAATGATAGACATGGGACTTAATGGACCTAAATATCCCGCCGAAAAGGTAACACATATGTTGTATACTTTGATTATGATGTATGGAGATATCTTGTCACGGTTTTTAATATTTTTATTTCAATAGGGTTTTCACAGGCAAAAAAAGTTCTAATATTGCGTTTATATAGTAAACACACATATAATTCTGTAAGTTTATTGTTATTGCGAGTATAAAGATATAGGAAATATTAATAATTAAAAGTTGCACGGAACCGTCAGGAACAATGACCTACATTCATTATCTGCACACGTCATGATCATATCTCCGTTTATTTTTAAACAGACAAATGCACTTTGGATATTTGAATTAATGATAGTAAACAAGTACAAATCAAATTAATTCGAATGAGTTTTGTTTCGAATACGTACTCGTAGTAAAACAGAAATTGGTTGAGATTGCTAAATATAAATTTTAGATGGTAACGATTTATACAGACGTAATAATAACAGGGAATGATAAAAAAGTAATATATTTTGACACGCTTTATTAGCTTGATATGTATGTATGTATGTATCTATGTAACGTATGTATGATTTATCCTGATCAGGATCTTCAGGATTAACGGCTTTTTCCATACCTAAAAATACGGTAATGTCTTTTGCTACTTACTTAGTATCTGATTTACTGAATCCACTGCTGGACATAGGCCCCTCCTTAGAAAGGAAGTTTTGGTGTACTATACAACGCTGGCCAGACGGATCGGAAAAGGGTTTGTGTGAAATTTTCCTTCTCTTTGCAGTGCTGTTGTCCTGCGTAGTTTTCTCCCTTACGACTCTTACGACACCCACGGATGAACTCTGTATTCTTAATCCGTCGTCATCATTATCATTAAGGGCTAAAAATTTACGAATTTTTACGATAAAATGATTTTTCTGTTCGAACTCATAGAAAATTATTTTCTACTTTTTAGTTCCGCTACTTATAAAAGTTTGTTTTTTTTAACTATAATTTCTTTACCAATGTTTTCAAAAAAAACTTTTGACAATGTTAAGAGGAATCCTAAAATCTGAATAGCATGCAGGAATCTTAAAGCAAATATTAAAGTCAGTTTATTCTAGATATTGTTGTATTAGTTCAGCAAGATGTGTTAGGCTATTTTTTTGTATAGAAAACTGTGTATTCTTAATCAGAGCTTCTTGTTGGATCGACAGAAAAAAATACCTATAAATACTGACGCAAGTGCAGAACGTGCACAGACTTTGTACGATAGCAATTCCCAGACTCTGCATTATGCACATACACACACATACATACCAATAGCAATGTTGTATTCAATTCTAAACACGATCCTGTGAAACATTTTTGGATCTTTTCCAGTGGAGGCTCATGGAAATTTTATATTAATACACGTAGGTACACGTCTAGTCACGTATTTCTAGAATCTAGAGGTTTTGCTGTTCCAAGGACTACTAATAATGTTTTGTTGAATGTTAAACACACGTAGACTTAAAAACTATTCAATACCAGTTTTACCCTCGTGTATGTCAGTTCCCTCGGTAAAAAGTAGCCTATGTATCGCTGTTAATGTAGTTTTCTATTGGTGAAAGAATTTTTAAAATCTGTTTAGTGGTTTAGACGTGAAAGGCGTAACAAAGAAACTCACTTTCACATTTATAATATAAGTATGGGCATGTTTTTAATACAGGAGAGGAGCGTTTGTTTAGGCGACCTTAGGAGGGAGGCCTATGTCCAGCAGTAGACTTGTTTCGGATGATGATTTAATACTGCATTTGATACGTATGATCATGTCTGCTTTACGTTCCCAATTAAAATGGTTACCTATTCGCCTGCGCCGCAACCAGCAAGCGCTGACCTTTCTTTTTTCATTCCTCAACTCTCCATTTTCACCCACCTACCTCGATCCCTATATCCGTTTCTTGTCCTCTAATCGCGACAGAAATCTTCGAGCAACAAATAATTTGCTTCTCTTCTGTGCCTTCCACAACTCCGAGTTCGTGAACTCCTCGTTCTTTGCAAGTAGTACCGCTCTGGATCGCGCTCCCACTCGAAATCAGGATATCCACAAACCGTTTCGCATTTAAAAAGAATGTATATATTTAACTTCTCGACGAGATGGCGAAAGTACCTAACCAATAGTACACCTCCTTAAACTGTCTGTTTGTAATGTCAAAAATATAGGCTCTTTTTTTTCATGCACACACGGTTATTTGCACGATACCTATGCATAAATAATAGAGGAAGAGAGACGGAAAACAACAGAATCACATGATGAGTATTATATTTTCTACAACAATCCCGGGAAGTAAATATAACAAGAATAATATACAAAAAAATTTTTGCCTAACTGACAATATTGTTTTTTATTTTTTTAGGAAATCGTAAAAGGAGACCTAGTGTACCTGCCATACTTCTTGGCGGCACCATTCGTGAACGGCATAGTACAAGTGTTATCACGAAGTACTCTTCCAAGATCTGCATACAAAGACCTATGGTCTCTCGTACGTGGTGCAATTATGTTTCAGCGGAACTCTAATGATATGGGTGGAGCGCTCTCGCTAACGCCGTGGCTTAAAGACGTGCTTCCGAACTATAGCGGGTACAATGCGCTAGTGAAAGGCAATCAATGCTTGTTGGATTTTTTTCAGGTAACCAGCGTTTTATGACAATTTTTTGTGAAAAATAAAACAAAGACAGTTATTAGTTTTCGTACCACAAGGAACATCGGTGATGGAAACTAATATCATTTCTTTCTTTTCTTATAAAAACTACTTTACGCTATAAACTACGCCGCGGGACAGACAGAATCGGTGCCGGTGAAGCGTCCTCTGCGAATGTTGTATGCTAGTAAATTTATCAGGCGTTGACACGAAGCAAAGGCATACCAATCGTGCCATGCATGTACATGAAGACACCTGCTGATATAAAAATTAAAACATTCCATAAAATTCATACTTACGAGTCTCGAATGATGAACAGAACAAAAATAAAATAAACATGAAACTAATTATACATATACCAATAATTCTAAAAAAGATTTATAGACATTTGTATAAAAATTATCGCATAGCAGTGTTCTGAGTTATGTACCTACCTACACATAAAATGGTTTTATTAAATGTAAACAATGATTGTAAGTAAAAACACAATAATTACTACTCATAATAATTATCACCTATGAACCTTGTTGAACCCACATGAACATTAATCGAAATCTGGATGTCTATAAGCAGATTCTAATAAATATACCTTAGATTATAATATTAATAATCTCAGAAGTATACATAGAAATGGTAATGTAGAATAAAGGGTATTAGGTACTTAACGTACACATAGGACAAAGATACTTAATTAGGTTAAGTACTTTTGTATTGTAAAGGTTATTTGTTCAGCAGAGATACTCAGTGTAGTTGTAGAAATATGTATGTTTACGTTATTTCCATCATTATAGTATAATTCGAAGAGCGCTCAAAACTATCAATATATTTTATAGTGACCAAATTCGTCATCATTATTCGTAAATGCTACTGATAGATTTAAATATAGTTTTAAATAATGAAATAAGGCAATATGCCACACCTTAACAAACCACGTGTACCTACAGTAATATTTATCTAGCATTACAACAACAAACCCGCGGTCCACAAATTGAAAAGAAGACTCAGTAGTTGTATTTTTAAAATAATAGAGCAATTAATTGAAATTAATACACTGCAATATTTAAATTAGGGAGAATCCAACATAATGCAAATAATGCAAATATTTTAGGCACCGTTTTGGCTTTTGTTTTATTGTTTTGTTTTATTTTTGATTTATGATAACTCTGTAATAATGGTTTAATTTAATCGACACTAGTTACTACTTTACATTGACAGAAAATCATCAAAGATGCAATAGAAACGCACGATGAAAACTATGACCGCCATTTTATAGATATGTATTTAACTAAAACGAAACAAGAAATGAATCAGAAGAGTACATATTCAGGTGAGTTCTTTATTCCTCGACGTTATTTTGAGAACTTCAAAACTATTTGGTTCTTGATAGTAGAGACGACTGTGGTAAGATAAAAACAATGAAGAACAGATATCCACCATCTGGATTCTTAAATGTTGTACTCGCAAATAGCTACTCTACAAATTAGCTTTGAAAGAAATATCACCGACTTGGAATTCATCTTGATGTAGGTGCATTCAAGACTTGAAGTTGACATTAAGTTGAATTGCAATAAACTGTATTCTGCTATCCTTAACATGTGGGACGCTATTTATATTCAAATGTAAGTGAGACTTAACAGATAGAATATCTCTGAGTTAAAACTGAACTGAGTTAAAACGCATAAAAAATACAACAGAATGACATAACTTATGTTCCAAAATTAGATAATGACATTCATTTATCAACTACTCTACATTAGCCATTAGGTTAATGATGGATTGGGTATTAAACGATTTAAATAACATTTTGTATCAGATAAACGTTTGGATTGCTGATTGTTAAAATAGTTAGATAACTGAGTATCATTTACCTGCTACATGCTTATAGGCACAGTTTCTATCTACCTAAGTAATTCCGACATATCCTATGTATACTACATTACTTACTAATATTAAGAAATATAATTTCACCAGGCGTCAGGTCTCCTGAGTAATGCAGGGGTCGAAAACCACAAAAAAATGTATCATCTCTAGGACATGGCTACAATTTTTGGCACTTTCTATTTTAGAGAAAAATACAAAAATACGAGTGCTATGCCTTCTTTCTCTCCTCAGTCAGCCGTCTATCTGTCATTTGCCTAAGATTTTATTGTTTAATATATCATAATGGATTAATGATTGATTATGTAGCTGTACTTAACTGCCTTTAGCAATAAAAATCTTACCTTTTTACCATCTGTTTTTTTCCTGGTTGATACTTAAGCTCCGACTTCAAACAGACTAGAAGGTGTCCATTATTATTACACATAATGTTACCTGTTATATTGAGGGTCGCATTTATTTTAGTCTTTTCAATTAGACAATTTTAATTTCTAGTGTCTCGTTTTTCTGTTTTAATTAGCTTTGTCATTTTCTTTACAGTGGATCAGCTCATATTGACGTGCACTGATTATATGTTTCCCGCGGCGTCGGCTGTTCAATTCGTGCTGACGATTCTTATAGAAAGATTACTGCTGCAGCCTGAGGTCCAAGTGAAAATACATGAAGAAATTGATAGAATAGTAGGACGAGACCGGCTGCCCAGCTTGGATGATAGACGAAAGTATGTGCGATTATTACTTTTATTAAATTATCTCTAATTCTATTTGGCATACATCACATGAACGCAAAACGAGACAGCCAAATCTCTTATTTGGCCGGCTTCGACCAAAGCCGGCCTCACAGACAAGCGGTGTTAAGAAATTCTGTCGGTGCTTTTCATAGAGTGAGTGGCTTCTACTTATGTTCGATCTTATGTCTTTGAGGATAACTTAATAAATTAAACCTATTAGTCGTTAATTATGTTGTAAATCTTGGGCTTCAGTACATTGTACTCTAGTCAGGCGCTAACTTATGTCCTTCCTCAAGAATCAAACCTTCCTCAAAAATCCTATGTCCTTTCCCGGGACTAAAACTAACTCTTTACCGAATTTCATCTTTTTAAGCATGAAGAGGTAACAGACATACACACTTTCCCATTTATAATATTAGTATAGAAATCAGGGTTAGTAGTCAGTTGAATCAGTCAGTAATGAGCTTAGTTATATTTGCGTATGTGCCTCGAAAGGGTACGCGCCCATATTTTGCCAAATGCCTATGATTGCAGTCCGTAGTATCAACAATCATCATCATCATCAATAGCCTCTAATAGTAGACTGGTGGACATGAAACTGACTTAGAAACGAGATTGTACCCTCTGTGCCACGCTACCCAGACGAGTTGGTGTAAGTTTTTGTTCTCTTGCAGTGACGTTGTCCTGAGTATTTTGCTCCCTTAGTCGGCTCTTACGACACCTACGGGTTTAATTAGGGGTGGTGTGTTTTGTTAATCCGTCACCACACGAATAAGTAAATTAGGAGTATATTGAAAGGAAATGTAAATAAGAAGGGAATGGTTATGTCAGATTGCCGACTAAGAGCTAAATAGGTCAGGGTTGCTTACCTGTAGCTCAAATTGGCTGTTGTTTGTTCCAGTATAATAAGTAGAACAGAGAAGTTCTACTTTAATCCAATTATTAATGTTTCCAGAACATGTTATTAGAACATAAACTTTACTATATTAGTCAATTACCTGAGAGAGATACAAATCAGAAGTCAAAAATGTTTGAAAAGTAATGATATTTTTTTTATGTTTAATAAAATCCAGACGTTTACAATGTTTCTCACATATTATTTTTTATCATGCATGTTGAAAGAATGTCAGTTGGCATCACTTCAACATTGGCAGCGTAAATGATAAATGCATATTGTCCAAAACAACAAACACGCTTATAACTAAAATAAAAATATATGTACTAACGTTGAAAATTGATATTATATTCAGAAAGAAAAGGGTACCTTAGGGTATAAAGTAACCTTTTAGTAAAACTAAGACTCAGACTTAAAGTGCGTATTCATAAGTGACGCAGATCATAGCTGTTTTCCTACTTCAAGTTAGTCATCGCCTATTAGTAAAATAGTAAGTAGCCTATAAGTCGCTAGCCAGACCTATATAACATGCTAGCTGACCCGCGCAACTTCGTCTGCGTCCCTCAATAGTAATAAATTTTCTCCGTTTTTGAAACATTCTTAATTGGTGCTCCGCTCCTATTGGTCTTAGCGTGATAATATATAGCCTATAGCCTTCCTCGATAAATGGGCTATCTAACACTAAAAGATTTTTTCAAATCGGACCAGTAGTTCCTGAGATTAGCGCGTTCAAACAAACAAACAAACAATCAAACAAACAAACTCTTCAGCTTTATAATATTAGTATAGATTTATACATTTATAAATATATATATTAATAGGTAAGTAATTACAGCTAGACTCAGAAAATAATTGTATGCTGAGAATAAATGACATGATCATTTATCCTCATCATACAATTATTTACCGTGAGTGGGAATTGACCTAGGACCTTTGGCTCAGCTATTAAAAGCTAAGACTATAATGGTGAATCTATTGGGAATTCAAATCCATGGTAAATTCTTAAAGACAAATGAATTTAAAAACATAGCCACTAAAATATCTTTAATACTGAAATTAGTTCAATTAATTAAAATGATTTTTTTCCTGGTGCAAAGTGGTGCTTTCAAGTACTAAACTTGAAAGTATTGTAAGAAACGGGATGGAAACCACTCACTGAACTGTTTGAAAATGTTTAGACATATAAGTATTTAAAACCGGAATGAACCAGATCATACACAAATTTTATTTGCCAGTTATAGCAGAAACACTTTAAGGCGCAAGTCCGGCCGCATATGGAATACTGTTCTCATGTCTATGCAGGGGCACTGCAGTACCAGCTTTTCCCTCTGGATCGCATCCAACGAAGAGCGACTCGAATCGTCGATAAACATTTCCGATCGGCTCGACCCCTTGCCGGCCCCCCCTTCACTCTGCATTCTCTATTGCATATATATTGGAGAGTTCTCCGAGGAATTGTTCGGACTAATACCAGGCGCAACTTTCCGCCATCGTTCCACACGGCAAAATTATCACCCTCATCACCTGGATAGTTGGCGCTCTACTACTGTCCGCTTTTCGAGACACTTTTTGCCCCGCACAACCAATTTGTGGAACGGGTAATCGTCTGTGGTATTTCCGGACCGATACGACCGTTAAACCTTCAAGAAAAGAGCGTACTCCTTCCTAAAAGGCCGGCAACGCGTTTGTGACTCCTGAGTTGCAGACGTTCATGGGCGGCGATGGTCACTTCCCATCAGGTGACCCGTCTGCTCGTCTGCCCCCTCTAATTATAAAACAAAAAGACTGTTTTAAAACAGCTATTTGGTATATTTTCTAATGTGCATTCGTCTGTTCTTTAAATAAAAGGCGAGTTCTTCAGTTTCCTTGTAGTCTTGATGGCTAATAAGGCTAAATAGTAAAAGAATAAATGGAACCTCTAAATTACTTTTGTTACTATAATTTGCATATCTGCCAGGTATTCTGGGGGTCGCGTCCTACTTAAAAACACGACAACAAAAAAAAAATTTAGAATATACATAGTATAATTGTAAAGACCTTAAAACCCTAGTTTCGCGTTGCAAACAAAGCGATAGCCAAAACAGGTTCATATAATAATAAAAATGAAGGTGCTTTTTCGGTCAATAGTATGCCGTATGTCGAAGCCTGCATCCGTGAAATAATGAGACATGAGACTACGGTGCCCTTGAGTGTTCCGCACCGTGCAATGACTGACACGAAGCTCGGTGGCTACAATATACCAGAGGTAAGTAATAATCCTCTAATCTACTTCTCCTTACTACCCCCTGTCTAGTCCTGTCAAGATCTCTTTAAAATTAACATCAAGTATGTTAACAGTCCCTCGAAACAGTAAAACACAAGCTTCTAAATCAACGAAATTTAGATAGAAAGATATATTTTAGGATCTAGACATATTTTAATCAATGTTAACCACAATTTTATTACTACAAACATATGCGTTAAATTTGCACTTGACCCATATATCCCTTAATACTGTCCTTATACTCACTTTATCTTTATGGGGCATATAGCAACGCGTCAATGAAAAAAATACACTTAGCTTTGCGATAGTCTGTCGTGAAGTGTGAGCTCGCGTATTGTCCTGGAGAAGCAATGGAGAAAAGCGATTGACCAGTCACGGTTGTTGACTTGCGAGCTTCTCCATCATTGTTTGCAATTCTTTTCAATAGACATCTCCCCTCACTGTTGTAAAATTCGTTAAGAAGCTGTGATGTCCAAGTCCGGCACTGGTCCACCAGACAGTCACCATCATCTTCCTAAGGGTAATCTTTTTTTTAGCCCACTGATTAGGTGCTGTACCCGGGTCCACCCACTGAGACGGACACTCACGGTTGTTGTACAGGATCCACTTTTCATCGCAGATAACAATTCGATTCAGAATGCCCACATTTCTATGCCAATTCAGTAGTGATATGCATGCTTCGACGCGTAAGTTTCGCTGATGGTCGCTTAGTTCGTGCGGCACCCCCTTATCTAGGTCCTTTTTCTTGAAAACAACATTGACGCAAGTGCTTCAATTTTGTTTTACAGTAACTGCAAAGCCCGCATCAAGCTCAGCCGTAGATTGAATTGGATCCCCTTCCACTATCGACTATAGTTACTGGACGACCGAGAGGCTCGATCTTCAACTTAAAATTTCCAGATCTAAAACGATTGAACCAACAATGGACCTTATTTATGCCAGCGGTGTTAGGCCTATGATAGGTCACTTGTCGTTAATATTTCTAGTTGTTTGCGCAGCGGTATTTCCACGTAGGAACTCTTATTCGAAAATATTACGAATGTTCAGTTTATCCATGGCACCATAAACTACCACAATTTCACAAAAATGAAACACTATTTAAAACAAACAATTGAATTTAAAATAACATGGCTTTGTATTTTTTTTTGACTTATTTAAATTTGAAAATGCTTTTTTTTTGGAAATCCCCAACTTCATAGGTAAATACCTATTAAAACTCTCTTCTTAATGCTTTTATACGCATGTGTCAAAGCTTAAAAGAATCTAATCCGAAGATATTGGAAGCATTTTTATAAATTGTCTAAGTAGTAAAGTATCATCATTAAAACTAATTTCACAAAGACAAGGGTCTTGCAATGATCTACCTTGCTAGAGCCTCGCACTGGCTAGGGCCGCCACTGCCAACCGAATTTCGAATCTCCTCCTTTTTTAAGTCGGTTGAAAAGATGTTAAACTGGCTGAGATAGTTAAAATCAATCAGTTTGAATCAATATTAATGTAAGTAGGTATATATTTACTAAGTTATATCAGTAGTATGGCGTGTCTATCTTAGTGCAATAGATATATAATTATGTAAATACATAGGACTTAATGGAACTAATCACGCTTGCTCACGCAGGCAGCCTGCGATCACTGGCCATGATCGGAGGCTGAATGTGCGGAAGCAACTAACTGTTACGTGATCGCATTAATTCCTGTATAGGTAATCATCATCTTCTTGGTCTTTTCCCAAATTTATTTGGGGTCGGCGCAATGATGCGTCTTAAATATACTCATATTCATTCCTCACCTTGTTGTTCACCCTAGTCATATCACACACCCATCTTAACATTCGCATTTCAGCTACGCAGGCGTATTCCCATTGGCGTATCTGTATATACATACATAAATAAAATATCATGGATTACGAAATTATATTTATTATTAGACACGACATTAATAAAACCTAATTAGAATTTTTATTGACCAAAAAGGCTAAAGAAAAATAACGCTGCTAAAAATATAATACCTTTTGTTTCACAAATCTTTTAAAATACTGCATTTAAAATCATCATTATTATCCAAGTTTTAAAGTTGTTTTTAATCTTTTTTATTCTCTGCAGTAATTTTGAAAATGTTGACATCTTTAGACTGTGGAAATGTTACTAAGGTACCAATACTGTCTTTGACGGTCCACATATCGGATCAGTTTATCAAGATACAGCAATTTTTTTTCAAACACAGAATACAATGGTGAACCCGAACCTCACTATGCTGCACATGGACGAAGAACTTTGGGGCGACCCGCAGAACTTCCGACCTGAAAGATTTCTCAAGAATGGGCAATTGGACCTCGCTAGCGACAAGTCACTACCTTTTGGAGCAGGCATGTATTAAATTATAATTGTATATTTTAATTGTCTTAGGGAGGATAAAAGGTGTCTTATTTCCACATACGGAAACATACATGAAACGGACACAAAGACTAATCAGACAGCTGAACCTACAACACTCAGCGCAGTGACCGCCTTAACCATTACGCCATCCGTGTAGTCAAAAATTACCCAAAAGATGGCGTAACCACCGTAGTAACATATAATTAAAAAGAAACTCGTGTAAGACAAAATCGGCTTAAGTATAGCCTTCTAGAATAAAGCCTGGTTAGGCTCACGGGTTTTCGCCAGAGTAGGACGCTGAGGACGGCCGTCGGCGTCGGGGTGATTTTTAGTGAAAGAATCACATTACACAAAATAGTTTAAAAATTCTTTATTGCCCACTATATTTTACCTTTATACCTATATCAACCTACGTGCAATGGCCGATGTTGTCGTTGAACGCGATGTCTTTCAGACAACCTTTCAATGAAAAAGAAAACAATCGGTAGCTGGCGACATATTATACATATTTCACGTAATAATGAAACAGATATGAAAGTGCACAATATAGTAGACTTATATCATTATATATACGTATCATAATATTAGGTAAAGTGTGAGCTCGCTCGTTGTCGTGGAGAAAGAAATAGTGAAGATCGGTTGACAAGTGTGGTTGTTGAATTGCAAGCTTCTCCATTATTGTTTGTAATTCTTGGCAACAGACATCTGCCGTCACTGTTGCGCATTCGGTAAGAAGCTGTGATGTACATGTCCGGCACTGGTCCACCAGACAGTTACCATCATCTTCCTATGGGTAATCTTTTTTTAGCCCAATGATTAGGTGCTATACCCGGGTCCACCCACTGAGACGAACGCTTTCGGTTGTCGTATATCAATCTTTTCATTTCAGTTGTCTATAGTTACCAGCCGAGGCTCGTACTTCAACTCAAAAAGAACCAGTAATGGACCGTGTTTATGTTACGCAAGCAGTGCTAGGCCCGTACACATCGTTAATGTTTCGTGTTGTTTAACGCAGCAGTATTTCGATGTAGGAACTCATTCGAAAATTGTACGAAATTTCAGTTTATACATGGCGTCACCACAATTTCACGAACAAACAAAACACTATCTAAATCAAATGACTGAATTTTAAATTAAAATAACATGGCTTTCGGATAAAATTTATTTGAATATCTAATTGCGAGCCAATGTACAGATATTTTTTTCTGGAAATGCTGGTTTTAAAAATCTCAAACTTTATAGCAACCTATTATAGATAGTTCAACTCAGTTGTGCGCGCGGCCCTATGTGTGCGTGGGCTTGTAAATATACAACTTTCATTCGTGTGCCAGTCGTCGTCCGACTGCCGCGTCACTGCCACACGAATGAAAGTTGTTGAACTATCTATAATATAGCAATGACAATAATATTTATCTATTTATGTTTGAATACGTACCTAATAAATTATACCTACTTCCTACAACTGCAGATGTACCTAAAATGAATTTCACATGGCTTATCTGTGAACACCGATATCGATAATAATTTATTAGGTATGTATGTAAAATGTGTTTTTGATAAAATACTCTTTTAATAAGTATCTCAAGAAAGATATTGCCAGTTTTGCTTTTTTAATGTCAGCTTTGTATTTCTCAATTACACACGAAATAAGAAATAATAAATTGTAAGTATTTTTTTTTTATTTCAGTAGCAATATATACATAAAATCAATCAACATTATTTTTATGAATATTTTATTAAATTGTTTATACGTGCATTTTTAAATACACATTTTTATGTATACGTCGCTAAAGTATCTAATTTTTTATTAAATGTGTGATTTTCTTGCGTTAAATCATGTTGAAACATCGGTATTTTGCAATTTTAAACCACAGAATAAAAAGGATTGATGTTCTTAGTTTAATGTTAGTATCTGGTATAGAACTGGATATTGACTCAATAGTGATTAGTTTTTTCTTGTTTTAAATTTAGTTCTAAAAATACCTTCTACGTTTTTGACAAGCATACGAGATGGACCCGCGCTATAATCTCTTTCCCACAGTAAGATATAATATAATAGACTCCTCTTTACATCACCACTGGTTATTCTTTGTGATTTCATTTTATTCCTAAACAGCCATCATTTCCATCTGTTACCGGTCAGAATTAAGGTTTAAGTTAATAGGAGATATGCCAGTCCAAAAATCTTGTTACGGTGATCCCGTCCGCTTACGCTTTTTCTCCACTTAGGTAATAATCAAAATACAGATATCCAACAGTTAAGGTAGATAAAAAAACGACAATCGCTCAAAAACTTAACACAACGAAATACAATAAACAATTATTTTATTAATGATAAGATTTTTTAAAGTTTTGATTACCTAATAATTAATATTACCTATTACGTCCTGAACTTATTTAACTCTTAATATATAATAAAATATGTCTGAAATCATGATTTTGGTGTTAAATTAATGTATTTTACTCTTAAGGCGGTCGAAGGTAACTTTAAAACACAAAAATCATTTTGTAAAGACTGGTAGTTCCAAAGTGTGAAACGTATTTATTTCAAATAATAAAGAAACGAATTCTTTATCATTATGTTTTTTTTTGAGATTATAGCATTTTATATCTTTACAGGGAGGAGACTATGTGCCGGTGAAACTTACGCTCGCCAGACAATGTTCCAAGTATTCGCCGCGTTTATGCAAGCGTTCACTGTATCTACAGCAGACGGGAAGCCATTACTTAGGCCTGCGAAACGAATCCAAGGCATTATAACCACGATACCCGAGTTCTGGGTTAGAATCACGCCAAGAACTTGAATAAACTAATTTGTACAGAATGTCGTGGTCAGACAACGTTTTTGGTCAAGGCACTTTGTATTTTAGTTGCTAATATTCTTATTTAAAACAATCTAAAAGTATAACTTTTATGTAAATTGGGACTCCAGAATTGTGATATTGCATTTGGTTATATACCGTATTGAATTAACATCCCTGACAAATTATATACGTGTAAGGGGACGTCAGAAGTCAGCTACCGGAATATGAATCTTGATGATGTACAAAATTAGTTTTTAATTCATGGTAGCAAGCTAAGCGACCTGTAAATCTGTATAAAATGAAAGATATTTCTGTAAACACCGTTTTTTGTGAATTGTCTGTTCAATCAGAATCATCATCAGCATCAAAATCAAGTGATAAAATGTTGATGTTAAAATGTTTATTAGGACATAGTTGAACACAACAAACTTAAAAGTCATTTCTTTAATATTCGATACCCAAATACAAGTAGTTTGATGTCAATAACGATAACTAGTTCGGCCAGATCGGCCGAGAACTCCACCGTTGTCCTGGACACTCAAGGAATTGGACGACTCAAGCCTGGGCATTTTCATCCCTATTCCTTGAAAAGTGACTTTTATGTTGTTTCTGTCGTTGCAGACCAACATCATTCTTTTTTGTCCGAGTAAAATCACAATAAAAAAGGCTTCTTTTATTTTATTTTAACGTCACCGCTGTTCTTGCATTAAATCTCAATTTATATCTTAGTATAAAGTTGCTGAACAAGGTTATAAATAATATTTACCTACAGTTTTTAAAATAAAAAAATTATATTCTCATTTATGACATTTATTTCAAATAATTAATTAACCTTAGCTTTAAGGTCATCGCTTATTATTACCCGCTCATTATTGCGCAGCTAGTACACAGCAAATAAAATTAAGAAAATAATTGTTTGAAGAACGATCCGATGTAGCATATTTTAATGTTTCTTCTCAATCGACCCAAAGAGACTAAACGGATCTACATAAAATTTTCTACAGCTGATAAGTATAGTGTTTGACAAAATCGATAATATTTATATAGTTCATTGGGTCACCAACAATTGTTAACACTGTATAATAGTTTGAAGATATTTTGCAATGAGTAAGGGACATACTGTTACAATTTCTTATCGGTAAGCACTTTATGCACTATAAACAATAATTATTGTATGCTTATGATCTTTACATAGTGTAAAATGAAGTCGATTTTTTTCTTGTGCGCTTAAATCTTTCAAACTACACAACGAATTTTAATACGGCTTTCACTAATAGAGAGAGTGTATCAAGAAGTGCGTTTATATTTATAATACATGCATATTATAGAAGAGGAAATCCGAGAATTTCAAACATTTAATGTAGGTAAAAAACATGCTTTTGCGCGCTTACATTGCAAACGCTGGCTAAACCCTACGAGATAGACTGCACGGATGGCGTAGTGGTTTAAGCGGTCGCCACGCCGCTCACTACTACGCTGAGTGTTGTGTGTCCAATCCCCACATGGGACGACACTTTGTGTGATCCACAAATTGTTGTTCTGAGTCTGGGTATTCTTTGTGTCCGTTTCATATATGTTTGTAAAGTCCCCCGTGACACAGGATATATATTCCTAATGCGGGAGCTGTCTTTTTTAAATAAAAAGTAGATCAAAATAATGTACCACGAAATTGTATATCTTAAAAGATCTAAAAATTTTGATCAAAATTGCCTTTTACAACGTCATTAACGTGAAGAACTTAGTAGATATCAGAGATTTAAAGTGCGGGGATACAGTGGCCGTCTCCGCGAAGGGCTGCACGTCCGTTAGGGTGTCCCGAAAATTTTTTGTTCTTATTTTAGCTACTTAAGACCTCCCAAAAGTTGCGCTGTTAGACGTAGATTAGCGTAAAAATAATTCAAAAAATATTTTAAAATATCCTTAGGGCTCTACCAGCATTTTTATTTACTGAAAATTCGCAAAAACAACCTTGTAGTCAATGTCGTATATTCTATGTTTTATGAATCAATCCTGTTTTGTCTTGTAATTTTATCAATACGAAAAGCCTCGGCTATGATTTGCAAGTATCGACAGGTTGTTTTAGCGATCAATCGGTTTGGATCGGACTTGCAAAATTCCTACAAAATTCATGTTTTGACTTGATTTTCGTACGTGCGCTACTTCTACAACAAGACAGTTCGTCTCATTTCTATTTCGA